AGGTTAGTATGTAGTGCATTGAGACCCCTAGATAATGCTTCTGCTGCCAATATAAACAAAGTTGGAGATACAGGATCACCTTGTTTTATTCCCCTTGAGGACTTAAAGAAACCATGAGCTTGACCATTTATTAGAATAGAATACCAGTTGTTTGAAACTAATCCAAAGACAATCCCTATCAACCTTTCTGTGAATCCCATCTTTCTCAGTACTTTGGTTAGGAATAGCCAAGATATTCTATCATAAGCTTTGGTCATATCAAGCTTTAGGATGACATTAGGTCCAACCTTAGTTCTAAGCCTAATGTCAGTCACTATCTCCTAAGTTAGAATTATGTTTTCTACTAAATTCCCCCCCTTAAAAAAACCCGCATGTTCCTCCGATATCAGACTTGGGAGAAATTTTACTAGCCTTTCATGTACCACCCTTGATATAACCTTGTTAGAAAAATTACTAAGGCTTATTGGTCTTAAATCAGAAAGGGTGGTAACTTCTTTTTTCTTTGGTATCAGAACTAGGTTTGTGTATGTTACACACTTGGGTAGCTTATGACCATTGAAAAGAGCCCTCACCATGTCGTACAGGTCATCCCCTATTAAGTCCCAACAAGAATGATAAAATTTTCCTGTCATACCATCTGGCCCTCCTGCACTATCACCATTAAGTCCAAGTACTGCCACTTGAACCTCCTCTTTTGTTGGTTGCTTAATCAATTCTACATTCTGCTCAGTGTTAATCAGATTAGGAACATGCTCTACGATATCAAATGATGAAGGATTAGATGCTTCTGTGAACTGTTCCTCGTAGAATTTGATAGCCTCTTCTGCAATTTCATGTTCTTCTTCAATCCAGGTTCCTCTACTGTTTTGAATTCTTTTAAGCTGAAGTCTCTTCCTCCTACCTCTCACTTGTGTGTGGGAAAACTTTGTGTTCCTATCCCCTTCCTTGAACCAAGTCATGCCTGCCTTTTGTTGCCAATATTTTTCCTCTAGTGCAAGACATTTAATCAATTCTACCTGAACCTTTTGGAGTCTTTCCATGTTTATCCCTGTAGGATTTGCTTCAAATTCTGCTTCATGAACCATCACTACCTCCTCCATACTTGCTATCTTTTGGAAAATATCTCCAAATGTAGCCTTACTCCACAATGAAAGGGCTTTCTTTAATTTTTTTAACTTGTGATTAAAAAGAATATGAGGATTTGCACTGAAATCAGCAGACCAGTTCTCTTTCACCACATCTTTAAAAGTCGCATGTACCACATTAAAAATAACTAATTAACATTTTTTATAACAACTAATAACATTAATTATTCATAAAATATCAACTTCTCTATTTTACTATTTTTTAGCACACTAATAATATAATCCGGATAAAAAATAACAAATTAATCAAATCATAAAACAATCACGAAATAATATAGAACACAGTAAAACACAACTAATAGGCATTTTTTATACATGATTTTTAACAAAAAATATGTCGGAATACCTCGATTTTATTTTTTTGGGAAGTTGAAGATTTGATGATTTGGAGCCGAAACGAGCAACCCACTATGCGATAACGCCTTAGATACAATGTGGGACCGAGAATCTATACTTTTTGTGGGACCTATGGGCTCCAACCGAGCTTATTTTCTTAAAAATGGGGG